GAAAGAGTAGGTGAAAAATATATGTCATATCTTCAATTCCTAATCATGGCTGCTAAGTGCCAGGTGTAGATTACTAGTTCTTAAAATATTTATAATGGGATTTTTTATTTGTTTGTGAGTCATATATAATACCAGGGATGCTGTAGTTACCCAAGTCACTTCTGCAACTAGACTGATCATACACAGCTAGACCAGACTTACTTAATAAGATGGAGATAACCTCTATTCCTGTTTATTTTCCTTAATGCTTCTACTTTTGCAGCTATACTGGAAGCCTTTTAGCCTCTTGCCCTAGTTTCAGGGGGTGGTACCAGACCACAACTAGTCCATCATGTCAGAGTGCAAATACATCCTACAGATGTTTATGTGATGCTCTGTTTACTCTGAGCGTAAAAGATGAACAATTTGCATTAATTAATAATGCTAAAATACTTGCAAATACTGTAGCCATCAACCAAGTAAACTATCTCACTACCTTTACGTTTTATACAAAAGAATCCATTTCAAGAGTCAGTGAAGTTCTGTGGATCTGGCTCATTATTATTTATTATTCTTCTTTTGATTGTCATCTTTATTTTCAACTTTGCATAATACCATTAGTAAAATGCAACATGCTTGAGTCTTTCAGCATAGTCCATAAGTGTTCATATGCATGCTTACAAGTCCCTTATGAGAGGTGCTTTTTCATAAATAGTGTTTATATCAAGAAAACTCAAGCCTGATAAGGTAGATGGCTCAGAGCATAAGGTAGCATGTGCATGGATCAGCTGGAAAGGCTTCTTTGCACTGAAGTGGTCCCTGAAGCAAAAGCTTAGGATATTAGGAAATCTAAAAACTGAGGTAGATGGATATCCCCATAGCTCTTAGCTACTAATAAATGCTAGTGCAATGAAATCTCAGTAATTACCTGATTAATACGAAGTTCCATCAAAAGATAAGAAGCTACTACTGATAATGACAAATACATGCACAAATATTTGCAGGGTCAGGGCTGTATCAAACCATGCAGACTCTATTGGAAATCAGAAATCAGTTTTGCAGACATGAATTAGACTGTGATTTCAGTTGGTGTCATGCCAATCTAGTCACTTCAGTTGAAATCACATTGCTGTCTGATACTATCTATGAAGTGTTCAACTAGGGCACAAACTGCTGCACTGAAAATGCCTAAACTACAATCAGCTCAAGTCCAAAAGCTGCCCTGCTGTGTATTGGCTCTCATTTTATTACAGAAAACCTAAATGCATCCCAATATTTTTTAATGGAAAATAGGAATGAAACTACAGAAAATCAGTTATATATATTTTTGCTGCTAAATTGTAAGATCATATGTACTGGAGCTAGCTTCTCTACACATCATGAGATGAAGGAAGAAGGCGCAGCACCAGTAGCTCTAGATCAAACTCCACCTGGAACTGCTTAGTAAGGTATATGTAAAAATTATCTTGATAGACAACACAATATAACCCCACTCAGACAGCATTACGCTCCTAAGTAATGTTGCTGGCTCAACTCAATAACTTTAACACTATCACTAGATATAGATTTCCACTGTTATATTTGCCAGGCCTCTTAGTTAATTTAAGCTTTAAGCTTTTAGTCAAAGACTGGAAGCATTGATCACACAGGACACACATAAAATAGGAAGTGCATCTTTCTTCAGTTTAATTCATCTTGCTGCTTTATGAATAGTACAACAGAGAAATCCAAGCAGTTATTGCAAATAGACATGAAGAGACATTTTCCACATACTGTTTTGTCTAATGAACTGGCAGGGAGTGTGGTTTCCCTGACTTTTAATTACTGCACCACCTATAGTTAGGACAAATTCACCTGCCTCTTCTGTCTGAGACTTAATTCATCTCAGATGCATCCTTATTAAAAGTGATGAGTCACAGTTTGGAATTTTGCTAAACAGTGTAATGTAACAGAAAGGCAATTTTATGGCAACCAGTATCTTTTTCACTTAGAACATCCATGTGCTTTCCTAATGGATCAATGCCTTTTCAAATCAGGGAGAGTTTTCTCATCAAATGTAATCTCATGCTTTATTTGAGAAATGCTAAGCATTTCCCTTATAATACCTTTGATAAATGAGTAGACTGAAGAGGAGATAATGCTTGATACTGTCCTGTATCTAAGATCCCAAGGAAATTTTCCTCATACATTTTGTTATCTTTCATAAAGTTTTATTTTAACTACTAAAAAACAGGTATTTCATTGTGGCTATGGCCCAAAGTATATTAGGGCTGAAATCTGGCAAGTGTGGGACATTCAACTTTTTAGGTAAAATATTATTCTATTAATGTGACATGCAAAGCTGGTTTACATTATAGTTTTTCAGAAATACTTTCCTTATTATCTTTTCCTGTATTTACTGTTTTATTAACAGTATTCTCATCAAGATGAAAACCACAGGATTTTGTATTCCTTTTTCCATCTATATAAGTCTTACATGATATGAAGCATGTTTTAATAGTAATGTTATAACACATAAAATACAAACATAAAATAAATGTTGAAAAAAGGCATCTGTAAACACAAGCTATAAGCATAAACTGTGTATTGTTTGATAACTACGGTGCTCCAACAGACACTAGACAAAAAAAATGTGTTTCATTCCAAAATAAAATCTTCATAAAATTTTCATTCAGAACATATATTTTTATATATATATGTATATGTCTCCCTTAGCATATATTTAAATTCTAGGACTAAACCCAAACCGAGGTCAGTGCAAATCTTCACACTTAAATAATGTGTAGACACTTACTGATAAGAAAAGTTAAAGGAAATTTGAAGAAACCCTACAAGCTCAGCTTCCGCCATTCAAAGACAAGATCAGTTATTCTCCAGGATGGAAAGGCCAGTGTGACTGAAGAGCAATTAAAATTATAAACAGGAATATTAAGAGAGCATGAATTGCTTTCTGCAAAACTATTTCAGGTATGTGGAACACCCTACAGAAACACCTGCATTGCCTCAGAAAAAACGCTAACGATGACTGATATGAATATGTGTGTGGTTTTGGATGAGTAGGAGGCTTGTATGGAGGTAGGAACATTTGTGGTAGGTCATGGGTAGGAGGATGGTAAACAAAACCATGGTATAGGGAGTCAAAAGGAGCCCAGGAATTCCCAGATAATGCAGTGTGCTGAAGGAAATCAGGCTTCAGCCTGAGAAGCTGTTCTTGCAGCCATCTCAGTCAACAAACATGCTGTGCTGTGAATCAGTGAAAATATTAATCTTTTCTTTTAGGGCTACATCAAGTAATGCTTCATGAGGAGATCTGACATAAGGAAATTAAAAAAAAATACTTGGTAGCAGGAAGGCTGAGCAATAAGGCTTATCCTGCTTCAATTTTTATGTTTAAAGATTTTTAGTACTGGAGGAAAATAAGACCATTTGAAAAACAGTGCTTAAAAATGCATAGTTTTTCATCTTCTGTGAGATGAGAGTTTTACATACATAACTATAAAATCTAGAAAGAAGATCACATCTGATGTAAATTACTAGAGGTGCTCAGGCGCTACCTTGTGTTTAATGTGCAACTACATATTTCTGCAGGTATGGACCCTCCAGCGTTTGAGCAAAGCAAACAACAGCCCATCTCATCTTGAAAACAAAGAAGTTTCCTGCATTGCCTTCCTATCACTTGGGACCAGTATGATTATCTACTGAGGAGGAAAATCTAATGTAAATGTTGTTTTTAAATAGTCACTAATTCTATGACATCATATTTTATGAATCCAGAGTTTAAAACAATAATATAAACCCCTTTGTATTCCTTATTTCAGTTTGGAAAAACATCCATTAAATTCTCTATAAAATAATAATCAGAAGACGAGTGCCAGAATACCTTACTTGCTCAAGAGAAACACTAGTAAAAGATAAATGGGATTAAAAGATCTAAAATTATGTGCACTGGTTGAGTGATCTTGGGTCTTTATTACATATCCTATACTGAAACATGGAAACATTTGTTATAAATTGGTAGTTATAAACCACATAGACAGTCTTGATCAGCAAAATTCTTTATAGCTGACAAAAAAGATTAATTCTGAAAACTATGTTGAAAACTGGGCTGTCTGCTACAGTAAATCTAGACTAACACCTACATGAAAACTCTTGAGACTAAGTTACGTTTTTAGTATTGTTCTATAATTGTACAGTTTCTGTACTGAGCTTCCATTATGAATACAAAGAAAACTCTAACTTAAAAATAATGATAAATTACGAAGTTATTAAGTTAATTTTCAAACTGATATTCATATAAACAAATAAAAAAATACGTTCAGTAATTCTGGTTAAAGAGGAGAGCATATAATTCACAGTGTTGTAGGGTTTTTTTATTGTATTTGTAAGAAACTTGTTATGATACTGAATTTCACACTTTTATATTCTAAGGAACTGAACAAATTTTGCCTTGCACTGATAGTAAGAAAATCTTAAGAAAAAAAAAACTAGCATATCTTTAGGCAGAAAGCAAGTGCCATGTCTTTGCTCACTTTTTACCCCTTTGAATGTGCAGTTCTCCCGGAAATTAAGGCTACACCTTCATGATAAGACAAACAAACAAAATATCTGACAGTGTTGTTTGGCTGGTTGTAAACAGAAAAAGAAGGCAAAGCAAAAAATATCAGACTTTTCTGGGACTTATGTAAACAGGTCTGGGAACCATTTCACAAAGACAAAAGAATGCTGTCTTTTAGATTGATGCAATAGTTTTACAGTTACTATTTATTAAAATTCTGGGTTTTTTTTCTTTATTCTGAGAGGAACACTTTTTTTTTTTTTTTCCTTGAATATCAAGAACCGTAGATTTGTGCCAAAGAGAATTTTTAAGAGATGGCATTTTATCTTTGTACTGAATTGCATCATTTTTCACATCACTGTAATTATATTTAAATGGCATAATGCACAGTTGTTAGCAAAAAGAAAAAAAAAGCCCTGAAAAAACATGTTTTTTGATAACTCACGAATCTTAGATGCTATGATTTATTTTACTGTCTCTTTATTTTCCATGGATTTTGTTTTACTTACAGATCTCACGATTTATGTCCCAATATTAGATGAAACCCAGGGGAGGGGAGAAGAACAGAAAGGCTGTATTTCTGGTTTAGAAATATAACTCACTGGCTCAGTATTAGAAATCACACATTACTAGTACTTTATTTTACATTTTTATAGCTCATTGCACACCGGTATCTCCCTATGGGTTCTTACCACAATAAAAACATGGGTTCCATACCTAATATTTTGCATACTAATAATTTTTGCATATCTAATTAATGCTATACACATAAGGACTGATATACAAATAATATTACACATCCCTAAATGCTTGTCCAAAGAATGCAAATCTGCTTTTCATAGGAAATACAACTGATATCTTGTTTGCATTTTTCCTCAAAAATATCAGTGCAAATCTGTGTTCTTTTGCCATCTAATGGATTTCGCAGCAGAACAACGAAGGACACACGGTATTCAAATGTATAATTGCTGTACATTAGTGTTACATTAGTAAGTTACTTCAGTCGCTAGTCTGTCTAATTCTCCCATCTCTGTTTCTCTCTTTGAGACCTTAACTCAGTTCCTGCCACTAAATCTTTTGTTATTGAAGTGAGCAGTCCACTGAGGACAGATTCAGGTAACAGCAATAATCCTGAGGAAGGATCCCTCCAAAGCAAGGAAGAGAGCAGACAACTTCTGTCAAACTCATCGTCAGAAATGATGAGCCCTCACCAAAGGTGTATTTTTCTTTTCAAAGAAGGAACATATTCACACATTTTGCAGACCTCAGGGAAGACTCCAGTTAAGGCCACCCTGACAAATGTAGACAGCAGTAGCAGAGACTAGCACCAGTCCCACTGGAAATGACCCTTCTACCTCCTTGAAAGCCCCCCATGATGCTGCCCAGAGCAACCTGTCATACAGCCTGGGGCAAGGGCTGCTCTGCAGAAAACAGCATAGCTGTTTCTCACTGAACAAAGCCTGTTATAGATCACAAAACAATAACGTCTTGTCAGACCCCTCCACTACCACAAATCTAAGGTTACTGCATGTTGGAGGTGAGTGAAGGCAGACCACATTAAGGTAGATCAGAGAAAAGAGGTATCATCTGCATCCACGCAGGTATATAGTTTTGAAACTCCATATCATCACAGTACAATCTGTGCTCCTCCAAGATGAGCATAACTTGTATGACTATGAGACTATGAGGTCATAATCTGCAACTGAAGCTGCAAGAAAATGGTGCCACGAATGTATATATACTAATTCAAATAAAAGACAAGGAAAAATGAAACTGCAAATAGTTCAAAAGACGCTTCATTAAAAAAAATGAGTCAGCTTTTTAATTAACTAAGGCACTGACTCAGGCTTCAGTGAAAGTAATGGGCTGCCTTGTTCCACTTCCCTCACTCCAGAAGCAGTTAAGTTGTCTAAGCACATAGACTTTCACTGATATTTCAGATCTTCTGAGTGTCAGACATTCGCATAGAACAGACATGGTAGGACTAGGAGCTCCCTTATTATTCTGCAGGTGGGGGCCAGGTAAGAGACCAGCAGTATCTAATGTGGCTTAGATACTTATGTTAACATTATCAAATTCCCACCACCTTGAGGAGAAGCCTGTGGGATACAATTTGCTGTGTTGTCATTGTCATCTCAGATTGGATGGAGAAGCCAAGTGATTCTGACATTTCCTGGGGAATAAAAAAATAAAAAAACAAACAAATAAACCCCAAACAACTTTAGACAAATTGTGTAACTGACTTTAATAGTTTTCATATTAAATTCCTTCTTACATGCATTTTCAAAGCCAGTACTTTGTAAGAGCAGTGCACACAGTGTTTGGTAGATTTAATTATTTGTTGTATACAGACTGTACAAACTATATAGTCGCATAGCATGGGAGTATATGATTTTGTTTTATGGATAAATTAGTGTAAAAATAATCTATTTTATAAAGATTTTAAAAGCTAAAATTTCTGAAGATGTTTGGGAGAATGTTGTTCAGGAAATGCAGTGATTTCAAATTACATTTGATCAAAAGAAGCAGCATTCTAAATCAGATTTAACTAATCCTTAAGCGAGGGGTTTTCAGTGTTTAGAGTGGAAAGGAATCAGAGCTGCAATTAGGGGAAGAAACCAGAATGAATTCTTCTCATAGCAAAAACTTAGGTTTGGATTTCTGCCATCTCCCTCTCTGACTGATGTCTTTATGTGATATCAGCCTTGGTGAAAAAAGCAAAATAAATAAATTAAAAAAATCCATACAAAACCCCAGAGTAGGGGGCCTCTAGGAGTAGGCTAAAGTTAGGACTTTTGTTTGACATACACTAAAATTAAAGACTATTTACAATGGAATTTGCAGATTAGTTAGGAATATCCAAGTCCCCTTTGTTCTAACTACATGAAAGAACTATTTTCTTGACTATTGGACTCTTGAGATTACTGCCCTCTGATGTTCTGCTCCTGGACTGGGGATCCAAATATATAGCTCAATACCATGTGTGATGCCTTGTGTCTGAAAAAAAACTTCTTTGGTTATAAATGATTGAGTATGGATGGTTGTTTTCCATTAATTTCTCCTATACACAATTAAATCATATTATTAGAAATTATGTTTTTATATAAGTCAAAGGGAAGATGCAAATAAAATCTAAAGCAACCTTGCTCCTATACAGGTTCTTCTTAAAAGACTGCATGAAATAATGTCCTGGGTTCAGCAGCAGCAGTCATGTTTCTCCTTCTTGGTAGCTGGTGCAGTGCAGTGTTTTGACTTTCGGCTTGGGAACAGAGCTGATAACAATGATGTTTTGGTTTGGCCAAGGACTTTGTGAGCCTCACACTCTGCCAGGGAGGAGGGGAACCCGGGAGGAAGCAGAGACAGGACACCTGACCCAAACTGACCAAAGAGGTATTCCATACCACAGCACGTCATGCCCAGGATGCAACTGGGAGTGACCCGGAAGGGCTGGGAGACTGCAGGGTTGGAGGAGGTATCGGTCGGTGCTTGGTCGGGCTGGGGGGGGGGAGTTATCGGTCGGCTGGTGGTGAGGTGTTGTATTCTCTTCCCATGTTATTTCCTTTATCATTATTATCATTGGTGGTAGCAGTAGTGATTTGTGTTATACCTTAGTTACTAAACTGTTCTTATCTCAACCCGTGGGAGTTGCATTCTTTTTGATTCTCCTCTCCGTCCCTCCGGGAGTAGGGGGAGGGAAAGAAGGGGGGGAGTGAGTGAACGAGTTACCTGACTGGGTTTAAACCACGACAAATAATAAACATATAGCTGAAATCTAATGTATTTTTGTAATCTTTGTATAGAAAGCCAAGGTCACATTAAGGTGGAAAGCAACATAGAAACTGAGATGGAAACAGTTTAAGAGTTTAAATTAATATTATAGACAAAACAAAAAATAAATTGATCTTATCTTTAGTACCTATATTCCAATCTTCTGGTGCATATAGTACCTATATTCCAATCTTCTGGTGCATTTTTCATTCAGATGTCTCCTGGAGAAATTCTGTGGAAGCAACAAGAAATAGGTAAAATTTCCATGGCACTTTAGTAATGAAGAAAAACCCTTGTCTCTCTGGTCTTTCTCTAGGTGATCATCTCTCAACTGATTAGGTTGTCCTACTTCCCTTGAAGTCCATGAACACATGGTTCTAATGAATTTTAATGAATCTTTAAGAATTTTTAATATTATTCAGTAGTTATTAGTAGTAGCATATATTGTGCATTAATAATAGACATATATCCACTTCCAAGACAGCTAATTGAACAGCATATTCTCTTCTTAAAAGACAGATTAGGAAAAATGTCATACTAATTGTTTTGAAAATAATACTGAAAAAGGTATGTATCAATGGTAACGAAGTTGAGTAAAAGGCAATTATTTACTGAAGTGGGCCTTTAATTCAGTAGTCCATTGGTAGAGAATTTTTAAGTCATTTGTACATGAATGAGCATATGGTGGGTCAGACTTTAGTTAGGTTAGTCAGAACAGAAAGCATAAGAAAAAGAGACCTGTAGCTACAGAAGCAACAAGACCTGTTCATCAGAACATCAGTCTTCCTCAGTTTAAAAGAAGACACAAGCTACTGAAGTTTTAGTGAAAGCATCTGGTCATGATCACTCTAACGTTCAGCAGTAAGTGAAGCAATCAGAAGTCATGTAGAGGAAGTCAGACCCCTTATCCGGTCACAGACAGTGTTAGACAGCGAGCTGACTACAGGAAGTCAAATGTCCTTCAAAACATGACATTCTCTCTCCTTTGGTCACAGAGGACAATTTTAATTAGGAAAGTTGCAACTGGATTAGCCAGTCTCCCATTCCACACAGGGGTTTCTTGTGAGAGAGAATGGTACCAGTTTCTCTTTAGACCCACATAGGTGGATGGCTCATGTGTTTCTCCAAACAGATCCAGCTCTATTAATCTGACATTAATTAGGGAAGACCCCTTTCTACCTCTGTTTTATAAGAAAGATTACACAGTTTTAGGGACTTTGTTCTTCTATCATGAATGAGCTAAAAATAACTTGATGTGGTGTTTCACATCTAGCTACACCCCTATTATTGTCATCATCCATTTTTTCTGCTTTCAGCAGGCTGGTACGCAAAGGAACTTTTGCTAATGATATACTGGATCACCAATGAGAGCCTTGTCAGCTGTGGGGAAGCCACATTTTGTGTGCTCTGGGGCCCAGGAGTGTGGCTGCTGTCTGAGGCAGATGAACCAGAAGACACAGTGACCCCACCAGCAGCAGGGCAAAGCCCTCACCATGAAAGTTCAGCCCCATGGCACATGAGCACAGTAAGTTGGACAGGGCTGCTGACGATAACAAGTTGTGTCAGCAGTCCAGTGACTTTCATACAAATTCACAATAGCAAGTCAAGTCCAATGTCCATCCAGGAAGTCATCCAAGTCAAGAACAGCAGAAGGCAGACAGTGGTCTGGAGGCAGCAGCAGCACAGCCCAAGTAGGGAATAGGGTCCCAGCCTGAGATGAAATAGGGCTCCTGGGCCATAGGCAAGGGAGTGAGGTAGGTCCTTGGTGAAGCCAGTCAGGGCCATGTAGAATCTTCTTACTGCAGTGTGTAGTGAGAAGCAGTATACCATTATTGTCTCCAGGCCCTGACCCTCATGTCTTTTAACTCAGGCACTGTTTATAGAGAAAAAGAGAAATGTAACAGATATAAATCACTTGGTCTTCAGTGTAGAGAGCCAAGGGCCATTATCATGATCTATTATTTAGATATTATTTAGCAGTTAAGGACCAAGGCTACACTGTTCCTGGCACTGCAGAATAGAGCTCTTCTACCCACGGTTCATGGTTGTGCTTCATAAAGAATGTAAGGAAACAAGAGCATAAAGGGGAAAATTGATGGGTAAAACCTAGAGTTCTGTGCAGTGAACAGCAGTCTCACACCAGCTCTTGTTTAAACAGTTAATGAGAATTGCTCAGCATTTCTTTGCTGCCTCCCCTGCCTGAGGTTCATAAAGCCAACTGTGGGAGCTCTGAACTGTTGAAAAGAATACAATTAACTCTCATTTTCCTCACTGAACTTGGCAATTTAAGTGGTTTCATTGTTTATAATATGTATGTTTATATATGTGTGTTCATCCCTATGTACTGGTGACGTCTTTAAATGATTGTACTGAGTTGTTTCTTTGGGGGTTTGGTTGGGGATTTTTTGTTGTTATTTTGATTGGTTTTCCCCCCAGTCGATTGTCCTTCTGGCATCTGGTATGAGAAATTTTTGGATCATACAATGTAATAGCTCTTCCAGAGCAGTCTTTCTGTCCTTGAGTGCTACGATCTAGTAAGATTCTCATTCCAAGTTAGCCAGGAAGTGGAGGAGAGCAGTGGTAATCAATTACCAGGACAAAGTAAATGGTGCCTTCTGACCTCTGTTATAAGAATATAACTCACATCACCTACCTAATTTTTATGTCTGACCCTTTCATGTCTCTACAGAATTCAATTAATTGTATATGACTATTTCAGAGGACTCCTGTATGTCTTACGGTTTTCTTATGACAAGCTCTGTACTCAATTACATTTAAATGACTGTGTTTGTCTTGTTTTGTCTACTTTGTAATGCTTAATTAGGTTGACAGAGAGGTAATGTCAGTCTGCATGAAAGGTATCTGTGTGAAAGACATTGGTACTTAACTACATTCTGTCCCTGATTTTTGAGTGGAAGCCTGCTATTAATTCTCAACTTTCAATATGGGACAGATCGAAATTCATTTACTCTCAAAAAATTTTAGCCTGTTTAAGCACTGGCAGCCAGAGCCATTCTGAGATGAATTAATGGTGACACAATATTAGTTTTTTGAACACACAGAACTGGTTCTGAAATGAGCAGGGAACAATGAAACCATTACATCGTTAAACTTTGTATATTATTAGACGTATTATAGGCTACATGCTGAGGAAATAACCAGAAATAATATCTTCCTTTTTTTTTTTCACCAAAGAAATGACAGTATCATTTATCTATACACAAAAGGAGACAAATAAGAGGTGCAGTCTCACATACACACACAGCTGTAAATCTTTTTGGTTGCTTCGTATGTAGATATGAGGTTGGAGTGTAAAGACACATCATAGTGATCATCCTTTAGCCTTAATCTGGAGACTTCCACAGCTAGCAGAGTAAGCCAGTGTAGTTCTAGCTAAGGATAAATTCATCTCAGTTGAAGTTATATCAGTAATATGCATAATAAAGAACATGAAGACATATGAGATGTATGCTAAAATGAACTTATATGTGATTTTACAGTTTTCAAGTACTGTTGAATGAAAAAATAGTGCTCATATCAATGTTCATGGGTAATAGCAAAGATAGGAGGCATCATGTAGTGAACTGAAAGTTACTACACAAAGTTGGTAGATATATTTTTTACTAGAGGTTAAAGTAGCTATTGCTAGCTAATAAAATTAGTTAAAGTACTGCTAGTAAAATATGTTGCTAATTAATAGCACAGAGTGAAACTTCAGACCTTTAAAATGATGGCATAACCCATTTTGATTCCATTATGGTCAAGATAAATTAATAACTCTTCATGTAAGTATCAATGAAATAAATACATAAGTAAATAAGCTCCCTACTATGTTACTAAATGTTTGCTAAAATTCAGCTGAATTAAACAATAATTTATTGCCAACTATTCTGTCTTGAAGGAAGCTTCTTTGTTCAAAAAAAGACCAATTACTGAAGTCACTGACAGCAACCACTCCTATTTCTTCATATTTCTTCATCAGCGAGTATGGAAACATTTTAACTTCTCAGTGGTCTGGCATTTAAACAAAAGTTTAAGCTGTAACCTTTTTACAGTCCTTTAAATGCATTTTTTTTTCACCAGACAGGAGGTTCTGCTATATGGCTCACAAAAAGAAAAAAAAAAAAAAAAGAGGAGAGAAAAAAGAAATCACCTCTTCCTACCTCCAATTTTTTTTTGCTAACACATATGTGGTTGTATGTTGTGGCCAACATATTTTGTAATTTATATTTGTATAGATTTAACAGGCAAGAGGGACTAGCTCATTGGTAAACCCTGTCTCATTTATACAGAAATTTATTGGTCTGAGAGGTCACTCGGCATATAAATTTAAAAGTGCTGCAACATTAATTTCTCTAAAAGGCATAGAAACCTCCTCCTTTGCGTTTATGTACCCAAATGAGGCCACACAGATGGTGTCGTGTTGTGGTTATGTCTCCCGTTATTCCAGCCTTGCAGAGGCCGTCTTGTGCTAAATGGCGAATGCATTTGTCTAACCGCGAAGGATTAAACGGATGACATGGAGCTGGGAGCTTACAGAAGGTGCTTCATCAGGCTAAACTCTTCACATTCTCACCCATGCCATAGGTAGCTCTGCCAAAAGGTTAGAAGCACAAAGATTTAGGTGCTCCTTCAGGATGTGAACTTATTACCTGTCTCAGGAGAGAAATGCAGTAAGAATATAATACTTCCTAGGACAGTACCAGGTCAGCCAGCATGGCCTTGAGTGTTAATGGTGAAATCTTAACCTCAGTGAGTGCAGAAGGAATGCTTTCAATAATAAACTCAGATAGTGGGTTCAGAAAAGCAGATGATGCTGATTTCCTCATCTCCAAGATCTTTTCCACTTGCATGTAACTGCATACAGCAGATTGTACTGTCAGTTTGCAGCTCCCTTCCTTCCTCTGATGCTGATCTCTGGTACTTGGAAAGGAGAAAGGTAAATACTGGTTTTCAAGAGGGTGGCTTGTCTCTTTCATAAAGCCCATCACTCTCTTCTCCAGCATCTTTCATCATATGATCTGACACCTTCCTATAAACAGATCTGGATACTCCCATGTGTCAGACAGGGCATTAAGACAGAAACTTAAGAGAAGAAAAGAAAAAAACGCTGACGAAAAGGAAGGATGAATGCTACAGACATAGAAGAATCTATTCAGTCAGTCCATTAATTTCTTGCCAAATTTCATCAAGGAAGACATTAACTACTTCAGATCACAGATGAAATATCTG